TGCATGGATGTACCCGCCAATGGTCAAGCAGTAGCTGTCACAATGGTTCCTTCTTAGAGTAATATCTTTGTACATGTCAATGTTACCACATATACTAGTGTATGTTAATACCGCGTACTCATTAATACTTATATGTTTACTTCCACAATTTAAAAAAAATTGCGGATGAACGATGTGTCTTTGCACAGTTTAGTATCACTATTTCGTGTATTAATTCAATAGTAACTCAAATAAATCTATTTGAGAGGGATACAAAGTGTGGGATTCAGAAACCATTAAATATGCAAACTACTTAATATCCTCACCTGGTATGATTACTTGTAAGACAATGAAAGATATATCTGTACAATAAATGTATTTTTGAAGGTTTGGTTGTAATTGTTATTACAAATAAAAAACTACTTTTAAATTAGAAGAAGCAAATTTTAAAACTAATTAAAACATTAGACTAATTAAACTGATAGCAAGTTTTGATTTCTTTGCCTTTAGTACGGTATCTATATGCTTCATCTCCAACTTTATTTACCATTCTAGACTGATGATTGTTGTCTGAAGTATAGCAAGGGTTTGAGGAATTTAGGTATTTTAAAAAGTTAATATTCGTGGATAACAGCTTGTAGCAAATGAGACGTAATTGTAGGTCAAAAATGTTTTGTATGTTTGTACTTGACGCATCGTCCCGTGTACGATCCATGGCGTACCAGCGATGTCCATGCCTCGTGGCCATGGGTTAATGGGATACGTGTCGTTGACACAAAGACATCCCACCGTCGTATTCCAGTCTCCTCAACTTAAGAAGTGAAAATTCTCATCGTCACACAGTAACATATACTGGGTCATTCCAAGGAAAACGCACTCTAATCTTGCCTCACCGGGAATAGAACCAGGAGTCGTGTAGTGGAAAGCTTTTACTTTGACCACCAGCTAGCCACGACGCACGACCCAGTATATAACATATACTGGAACATTGCAACGAAACGCATATTATAATACTGACTAACCAGAAATCGAACCCGTGACCGCCTCATGGAAAGCAAGTACACTGACCAATGAGGTCAGCCGCCAGGCCGATTAAGAATGTGGATCACCAAAATGATACAAATGTCTTTAATGCTTATTACTGTTCGCGTTCAAAGGATAGTGCAATGTGCATTTCACGAAAGTAAAGTTATTTAAGTACTCAAAGAAAACGGGTTCAGGACACCGTAAATTACTCTGACGGGAAATGTGATATTTGTATGCTGACAGCTAAGATTTACTAAAATTTGAATCAATTGTTTCTAGCCGTTGAGCATTCATCACATGAGTGAAATAGAATAAATACGTGAACCGGATTAAAGCATGCTAAAGAATGAATAGTTATCAGAAGGGCTAGGATTTATACGGAATAACATGTATGTAAATGTTATTCCATAATAAATATATATTTGCATAAAAATGGATTAAAAATGATAAAAATATTGAGTAAAATATGTACTAGCAAAGGGATAGAAAATTAAAATTGAGAAAATACCAATTAATCAAATGTTTACCTTACATACATAAACACGATGGCCAAATTACATAATTTTAATGTAAATTGAAGGACAATATTTAATCGTGTATTAAAATAGATCAAACATTATTCTGCTGGTGAACAATGTGTTCCTTAATTATTTTTGGTTAAGCCATTTACAAAGCAGTGAATTATTACAGATATTAATTTTAAATTTTTAAATGTAAAATTTTATCTCTTAGTATTTCGTATTAATGTGTAAAAGAATAAGAAAAATAATGAAGCTTCTGAGAATAAATATCGGCTGCACGAAAGAATATTAAATTCAAAACAAGAAGATATGACGGAAACTGCATGATGAAGGAATTCAATTCAATGATGCTACCAGCAAAAATGTGGCTCACGGCATCAAATGATGCCGCAGCAGCGCCTATATTCACAAGGTTCTAGCGTTCGAGTTACGACAGTGGAAAGGTTTTTTGACATTTGCTACACCGCTTTGTCGATTTCAGCCGCTCTCTGGAAAAGAATTCTAGCGACCCGCGGGTCTGATTGGTATTTTTCTGTGATTTTTGTAATCAACATCAGGAGTATGCCGAAGCAGACTCTGCAAAGCAGGCCAAGAGGTCGATTTACTAAAACATAATCATAATAAGAAAAATAATAATAAAAAGAACTAAATTATGGAACATTTTGTATATAAAATGTTCAAACTTTCAAACATTTGAGTTTTTTCATTAATATTTGAAAGTATGTACTAAATAAAATATGTACTGAAAATAAGAAAGAAATATGGGTAATCAAATGGGTGTTAAATTAAAAATGTCTGATTTATAAATATGTGTCAAACTTTTGATCGTATTACAAATCTTTTGAAATGTATCAAAATGTCTGGAGTACCGACGATTTGTATTTTGTTAATAATAATAATAATAATAATAATAATAAAGTAAAACTATTTTTATGGAGCTTTGATAATGTTCTCCTGACAAAATTTCAGATAATATATAAATATTCTTGAAGAAGACAGTTTTAAAATGTATTTTTAGAAAACAATGTATGTAGAATTAAAATGGCAATTATGTATAATATTTTAAATTAATCATAAAAAATAAACACAAATGCGGGCCTCAATTATTCACAAAGAGAACATTACGAATCGCAGATCCAGTGATCCAAACAAGTTAATCTTCAGAAAAAATAAACCGAATCGTAAGTCGAACAATAATTACTTGTAACTAATTTCACTAGATTACAATCTAGGGGGCGTGGCGTCTTTAAACATGTGAAAGGGTCCCTGATTTGTTCCTTTTTAACCTGACAACGTGTAAAATTGTTTCGAGTACACAACATTTCGGGAAGAAGCATCTCAAACTCGTGACAACCTGTGAACAGTTCAACATATATTAATTATATTTATTAATTTATCTTTATAATTAAAATCTGATATTCCTGGTAGTATTTTATATGTTTACCATTTAAAATGGCACATGTAAGTAACAAACTAATGTAAAGAGACCAGAAATGTAGCTGGCTCACTTTGTTTCGTCTGTACCCGCTTATTAGACAGGCCGTGAAAGACCTAATGAACACACGCATGACTTCCATTAATATTTCTCGTGAGACCACAAAATAATTAATTAAAAATCAAAATAATTGTATCATGGTTTTCTATCACTGGATTTCCCCATGAATTTTAATCTGCGAGGAACAGTTCCCGCGGAGGCTTAAAGACGGTCCTTGGGGAACGCCGACTTGGTGGAAATCCGCGACACTGTCGCGAAGCGCCCGGGGCGAAATGTTGCGAGCAAGGCGCCGGAACATCTTCCCTGGCGAGGAGCAGAAGCGCAGAGGCGCGGGCTCTGAGCTTAGGGCCCTGCGGCGCCGGTCCCGGCGCGGGCGTTGGAGGGGGCTGGACGGGCGGGACGGGCGGGAACGGGCGGTGGGCGGGCCGTGGGGCGGGCGGGGGCGGGGGGATGGCGGGGCGGGGGACGGGGCGGGGCGGGCGTTTGGCGGGGGCGGGGCGGGCGTTGGCGGGGGCGGCGGCGCCGGGGCGGGCGCGGCGGGGCGGCGCGGGGCGGGCGACGCGGGCGCGGCGGGTGACGCGGGCGGGGCGGGCGGTGGCGCAGGCAGCGGCAAGACTGCACTTAAAGGGAAGGGTACGATTGAGCCTCGCTAGATAAAGCTGTGAACCCGCCATACACAGCAAATGTACTGTCGGCGTGACCGTTCCTCAGGAGTGTTTGTGTCATGAGCATGTAACGCGAGCAGTAGGCAGATTCTGCTCTCTCTCGTTTTTGTTCGCTCTTGCTCGCCGAACGCGCTCTGCAGACGATGGAGTATTCTCAGTGAATGACAGACATGTAAAGCCAAATCAACTCTCTTGATTGAATAAATGACATAAATACGTAAATGAAATGAATTAATTAATATCAATATTGGAGTATATATTTGTGATTGGTAATAATCCCTCGTAGACAGAGAAGTGTCAAATTCAGAAGTGTTAACTTTTTGTTCACTGAAAACAATGATCTAATCATTGTGCACGTTCTAAGACTTCTTGCAAAACTTAAACGAAATTACAACAGCATGATTAGAATTCTTTTTTTTTTTTTGACATTTATCCTCAACTTTTCGAGTTAAAAGCATCAACATCTAGATAACCTGCTTTATCCGATATTGTGTTTCCGATATTTCCTTGAAGTTTTTGATGTTAGCAATGAACGAGTTTCTCCCATTCTGAAAATGTCGAAACAACATTAATGGATTTGAATACTAAACGTTTTCCTATCGAAGAGTACTTGTGTAGGAAAATGTGAACAGCAATCGACCTAATTTTCTTTGTTCTAATTTATACTGGGAGTGGTGGCACAAGGCATCAACTGGTGTCAATGCAATTCTTCTGACCGTGATGTTCTAGGTTCGAGTCTCGACGATGGCCCCTCTGACTGGTAGGTCCTTGGTTAGAGTCCCGAAGGTGGAGGGATATTCGACACTAGCCAGATATCTTAGCTTAGTTGTAATGAATTAATCACGATTTAGGTTTCTCTGATTACGTTGTATTTGTGAGTTGCACTAGCGAAAGCTAAACATTATGAATGTTTCCATTTTTCTATAAGTAAAATTTTACTTCACTTTTGTTAATTTTTTAGATTCCATATTAGTCAACTACACCGGAGTTTGGGGGACAAGGTGCGAAAAGATAGAATGAATAATAGATGAATATGATAAATGAATATTTTGGCAACGCCTGTCACTTCAGTTTAATATTAGATAAAAATATATATTCAATAAAAACTGTACAAGGGTTTATACTTTTTTTTTCACCTAAACACATTAAGAAAGTGTAGTTATTGGTGTTAGTGTGTAGCCCCTTGACGCAAACGCAACGCCATGTTTGCCAGCTACCTAATTGGTGACCGTAATAATAATAATAATAATAATAATAATAATAATAATAATAATAATAATAATAATAATAATAATTTATATAGTATCCAAGTAATGCAGGATTTCTTAAGTTAGTGGATGAAGAATTCTAATGCATGCCACGAGGGATGCTACAAACACTATGAAAACTCTGAAATGACCCATTCTTTTATGTCATTAATTTATTGTGTATTGTCAATACACGTTTGTTGCGTTATAAATAAATCACATGTTTTGACAGACTAAGAATTGAAAGGAACTTTCAAAGAGGCAGTTCGCAGATGAACGTCAAGGGGAGTTCGCACGAAACTGCCATGAAGCCGAGGTTCGAAAACACAGCTCCGCAATGTTCTTCGTCAGAAGGCGTAGTAGCCCAGATGTTGTAACTTCCACCTGCGGAATCTGACAGGTCCTCACCTGACAACAGAAATGTGCATACCATTAATGTGGATATTAAGTAGGAAATTAGTTAAGAATATACAGGTGTTTTCTTTCGTTGAATTCAACACAACCGTATTTAGTCTCACCTTGTATTAAAGGTTTGTTACTTGTTTTTAAAAAAATTGACACAGATAACCTCGAATGTTAATAGTTTTAGATACGTCGAGTATCAGTTCTATGCATATGCGAAATAAAGTTTCATTTCAAAACGGAAATGTAGCAATACATGTTAGGAAATTACATAATAGATTTACGAGAAACTACTTCAACTAATTCCGCGAGATTGTATAGTAAAGTTTGAAGCAAGAACGTCGAGATTGAAAAACTGAAGCATGAACTAGGAGATTTTTGTAGATTATTACTTATGATTTAAGGATACGTTCCACAAAGGATTTATCAGAAGAAAGGTTTCTGTGAGCAATAAAAAATAAAATACCGGTCTGGTCGTCACAAAATGTGTTGCTGTTGGCAGGGCATTTGTCGGTACACTTCAGTAGCTTTTGTGGCAGGGAATTAGGTTTTGCACTTATAGTATGTGGTCGGCAGGAATCGATCTGGAGAATTTGCGCAGGAAGTCTGCGCCACTCACACGACCCAGCAATCGCATGCTTCGGAACTCGAGACCTGCGGAAGCAGAGGGAATAAGTATCCCTCACTACGACTCGCACTAGGGATGTACAAAGTTGGTAATTAGGGACAAACGAGAGGAGTTGAATTTTCAATGCATAGTCAGATTAAACTAAATCCACTATTAATTAGGAAAATAAACCAAAAATTGTAATTTAGTACAAAGAACATATCACAAAGAACATATCAAAAAATTATTTCGTAGAAACAAATAAAGGAAGAAAGAATTCCATAAAATGCGACAGAAGGGGCGGAAAAACCTAAGAAGATTGGGCCGAGTTCCCGGCTCTCAGAGCATTGTAATGGCAGATGTCCATGCAGGGACGCACATACAAGCTATTTCTGGAAACACAGTTCACATAGTCTTCAATAAACAAGCTGCAGGCGTGCGGTCTGTCTAAACAACTACAACAAATATTAGAAGAACTATTTCGATTTCTTCACGGTGGCACCAGAAGCAAAAATATTCACCTGGTGACCGTTTTAGGGCCTCCTTAAAATCGCATCAGCGTCTCTAGAGGACAGCGGGCCCCATTCTGATCATCTATTACTGATAAAGAAAATTTTGAAAGAAAAAAACTTAAATTTAGTATTTAAAAAATGTGTACTACTATTAAATTTAATGACTGGTTTATTGCTATGGATATTTTTCTTTCCTCATATTTGATCTGTTATCTTCAGTATTCCTTTTTTATTGATAAAATTATTTCTCATCAAAACTCGTGATCCAAATACATTTAAATCAATCAACATGGTTTAGTAAGAATTGGTATTCACAGCTAATAAAAACGTTTATTTTTCATAAGTATGACAAATAATAAAAAATAGTACATACTACATGTACATACATGAGTACATACATAAGTATATTTGCAGCTCTCGTAAAAAGATTACAGTCGTACAGTTTGTAAAAAATAATTTAATCATAATTTTACAAGGGATACGAATAACAAAATGAGACATCCTGAAAAGTGACTTGCCGAATAGAATTAAATCAATTAATAAAAGGAATTTATGAAAGAAAATTCATGATGACACGAAGAAAATTGATAATATAAACAGGAAAAACAACTGATAACTATTAATAAAATTATAAACGCCAAGAAAAGCTAAAAGGTGATTTGTGATATGTATAAGCATAGAACACATACAGCTTCAGCTTCTTGTCATAGTTTTACTGTACAACACAGCATCTACACTGTACAATATTATTTGAATAAGTTACATGCTTCACTACATGTTAGCAAAGAAATCACACAGGAGTGTATTCAGTATTCATTTTAATACAAATTTAACAAGAGATGAGTAGTACATGGCAGGAGCGCCCGCGTCACAAAGGCAGCTTGCAGATAAATGGCATTTCGCTGTCACAAGGAACCGCCCTAAAGCCAGTGTTCGAAAACATAGCTCCGCAGTGTTCTTCGTTGGTAGGCTCAGTAGCCCACGTATTGTATCCTGTCTCAGACAGCTGCTCGCCTGCCAACAAAAAACACACTTTTTGGTACGAATTCAGAATTGATTCTAGAAATCTCTCTTTCATTCGGGATAATAATATTTTTTATCACAATCATTATTTCAAACTTACAATGTCTAATACAGTTAAAAATAAATGAGAATAAATAAATAATGAAATAATTATTTCATTACAATTTGAAACTTATGGTCATCTATGAGAAGATTCACGTCAGTTTTTATGTACTATAAAGTACCAGTGAAATACATTACGATTAATATCTTTGTTAATTGTTTTTTACTGTACTATGTGGATGCAACCTCTATTTTTAATACAATCTCAAGATGTGAATTTCGGTAGATAATACAGTCCAATATTGTGAAACAAGTGAAGTGGCTGGTGGTTCCTCCTCGAAATAAAATTAAACAAAATAAAATGGTCCAGCGTTGTGCGTGTTCGTTATCCTGTAGTAAGTATTAACCTTGCAACTCCAAAAACAACACTAGTAGTTCCATTTGCTGTGAAAATGTCACAACTGTTAGTTTAATAACCACTGATATAATCATTATTAAACAAGAATAAAACTGCATCTCCATCTCTTCATTTGAAAAGCATCGACGAAAATAATATATGTCTTGTAGCTAATTATCTACAATTGATATCAATCATCTTTTGGTCTGGGTGCAGGCAAAGAACTGATATCAATATTTTCTACGTGAAAACGTAAAGACATTGCAATTGTTACTCCTCTAATTTTAAAATGAAAAGAAATGTTTCATAGTATTTATCTGAAAAGTAAAGTATATTAATAAAACATCGTTATTACTTCAACAACTTACACTTTCCGAATGCTTGGTTTTATAAATGTTCATGATTTTGCAAAAATTTCTCATAAAAAAAACGAAAACAGTTTGAAAGGTAAATTCAAAGATTTCATGTTAAAAATTGAAACATAGGTAGATTTTTCAGCTACAAGTATGGCAGTTTTTTCTCACGGTTCTGAAATATCCGTGTCTATTGCGAAACTGAGTATAACAACAAACTCTATCGCGCATTTTAAGAAGCAAACATTTTACAAGTAGTTAAACAGATGCTGTTACTGTTATATCAAGAAGTCGTGAAGAAAATATTTTGTGTATTCTGCTACTAATTTCTACCGAATATGCACCTTATCGGATCATTTTGTTCGGAATAGTAGTATTCCGAACAAAATAATGGTTTGGAATAATAGTATTGTTTAATTAAATTATCAAAAAATGTATAAATGAAGTTGCACAAATAACCAATTAAATATTGAATCAATTAACTTGTTGTTTTGTGAAACAATCTACCTATTTAGTGTATCCATATTGCTTTGAAGTAGTTCTTGCACAAAGCCTGTATCACTCATATTTTAGGATTTCCACGTTGAGGGAGATTGATGAAATGGTGAAAATCATAAATCTGGGATATTATGGTAGTCAGAAAATACCGTTATCTGGGATGAGGAATCCCCTAATCAATGTTTCCAGTCACAAGGATACGACTACACATTTTTAGTTCTGTCATTCTTTTCACTCTGACGTAGATCGCAATTATTTGACATCTTCAATTCTCATATTGATAAGTGGGGAAAGCATGGCATAGCGACAGTGGGTGAGTACGTTGTGGTTTTTGACACTTCAACTACAGTGGCCATTCGTCCTGCAAGTAAATAGCATGTTACAGCCGGGAGGAAGTGGTGTTCCTGTTGGAACGCGAGTTTAGCCGCCAACCTAAACGTCGGCATGTGGGATTTGCATCAGCACATGGATTGCTTTGCCTTCCTCCAGGTATCTCCCCCAACGAGACTCTATCTTGCCTTTCGCGTTATTCGCGATTCGATTGGTCTCCCGACAAGCAGTGTTGTACAGGGCGTTCCAGAGAAACTTACTTATTTGAAAAAATTCCCGCACGGTGAGTTGGGAGGTTAGAGGGGGAAGTTCCCAAGTTTTTTCTCCTTCCAGTCAGTTGCCATCATGCTGTGGACTAGAGAGCAGCGGGCCTTCGCAATCGGAGAGCTTCTTTCTAACGGTCGCTCACTTGGTTTGCTACGCGGCGTGCCATTCCGCGCTCGCCTTTGAAATTCCTCCTCACAACTCGCCTGGCCCGTAATTCGATTCTGTATGGGCTTAACCGTCATTCGGAGTGTGGAAAGTGTCGCTAAAGCCCAGAAATGGACTTCAACGGAACCATCAGAACCCCTGAAAATATCGAAAAGAGTGAGACAGTCGCTCAGTTTGCGTTCTCCCCGACTTCGGCTCCCAAAACACGCAGCTGCTATGGGAATTTTCTGACACCAGCTGTTCGAACAATCCTGCATGAAGAACCTTCAAATTTCATCCCTACATAACTGGCCTGTTTGTGCTAAAGAATTAAACTTAACGCGAATTTTGCTGCCGTCAAAATGCATGTGAAATATGCTGATTCGACAACCTGCCTGGAAGACCGTCGTTTTTTCAGTACGAGGCTCACTTCCCTCATTCCGGTGGCGTCAAACAAGCAAAACATCCGTTATTGGTGTGGTTTAAAATCCGCGTGAAGCTTCACCAGAAAGTCACTTAATTGTGAGCGAGTTTACTGTCTGCTGTCGATGTGCGTATGGGAATAAAAGTTCTTATTTTTTTGAAGAAAAACGAACACGCGCGAGTTTACCGGAATGAGCTCGTACAGAGACATACTCGAGGAATTTTTTCTTCCAAGACTCAAGAAATGAACTTAGGAACGTGTGGTTTTCAGCAAGATGGGAGCCACAAGCACACACCAGCACGAGACACAATGAATTTTGTTTTTGCCGACAACATTCCCGAACCGCCTCATTCCTCTCAGAGGCGATCTCCAATTGGCCGGCACGCTCTCCAGATTTGACTCCATACATTTCTTTTTTAAAGGTGGGTTATTTGAAATCCCTGGTTTATCGAATCGACTACCGACCATAGCAACACCCAAGAAAACAACATTGCGCGACGCCATTGCCAACATACCGATTGATAAAATATGTGCAAAGAGTGAATAACGAATTTCAAAAATCGACTTCATCATGTACCGCAAAGGAGGTCGCCATTTATCCGTGTCAATTTTCAAGACTGCATAAAAATGGAATATGTATTCTCAAATAAAAAATTTAAAACAAATAACTGAAGTACTTTTTTGGTTTTTATTGACTATCAAAATAAGTAAGATTTCCTCTGGAGCAATTCTTGTATAATACATGTGGATGGTATGTGTGTATAAGTAATGGTCACGATATCGCAAGAAGAAAGAAAGTAAAGATCGCGCGTTGTCCCGAGGGCCCTTTCTTATGTACTCTTCCAACATTTTCCTGTAAACCACAATAACTTCGGGATCGAGCAGCCGGCCTCATATAACCCCCCCCCTCCGACCCTGTTGAAAACGAGTCTAATGGCAAATAGCTAATGTCAGGGCTCGAAACCCTAAAGTTTTTCGCAGCGAGAGGCGTGTATTGAACCACGGTCCCTACCACTCGCCATTTCACCGCGCGTTGCAGGCGCGGAGCGCTTACCGAAGATGTGGTGAAGTTCCGATCGGGTGGGCGGGTAGCGGCGGAGACGCCCACCAGTAGGTCATGCGGTCAGCCCCATGACGCCACGTCCATGAAGTTGCGCGGCGCCTGCGCCTGCTGCTGCGCGCCGCCTGCGTCGGGCTGCTGCGCGGGCGCGCGCTGCGCTTCAGTCCCAGAGGGCGTCTGCCTCGCGCTGCGATGGCACGGCGAGCGTGCGCCCTCCTGCGAGCACGCCAGCGCCGGCGCCCCCGTCGCGCGCTCCAGTGCACCTTGTAGCGGCCGAGGGCCCACCTGCCAAACATGTGCGCTTAGGGGGCGTGTCCCCTGAAAATTTGGGAAAGGCACGCCAGAGACAAGGACGACCGACTCCAGGTGCACCTTGTAGCGGCCGATGGGCTACCAAAGAGGCACGCCAAAAGGTGGCTAGGGGCGTGTCTCTGAAAATTTGAGAGAAGGCCAATTTGGGAAAGGGCCACCCAGTGCAGGGCGAGGGCTCCAGGTGCACTTGTAGCGGCCGAGGTGCCCACTGCCAAACACATGTGCGCCTTAGGGGGCGTGTCTCTGAAAATTGGAAAAAGGCCACGCCAGAGACAAGGAGACGCTCCAGGTGCCACCTTGTAGCGGCGGAGGTGCCCACCCTGCAAACAGACGTGCGCTCAAGGCGCTGTCACTCTGAAAGTTTGGAAAGCACGCCCAGTGACAGGGAGGAGTGCTCCAGGTGCACCTGTGTAGCGGCGGAAGGTGCCCACCTGCCAAACAGAACGTGCGCTCAATGGGGCGTGTCACTCTGAAAGTTTGGAAAAAGCACGCCCAGTGACAGAGGAGTGCTCCAGTCACCTGTAGCGGCGGAGGGTGCCCAACGTCCAAACAGACGTGCGCTCAAAGGGCGGTTCACTCTGAAAAGTTTGGAAAGCACGCAGGACAGGAGAGTGCTCCAGGTGCCACCTTGTAGCGGCGGAGGGTCGCCACCTGTCAAAACAGACGTGCCCTCAAGGGGCGTTCACTCTGAAAGTTTGGAAAGAAGAACACGCCAGTGACAGGAGGATGCCCAGGTGCACCTTTAGCGGCGGAGGGGCCCACCTGTCAAACAGACGTGCGCTCAAGGGGGCGTGTCACTCTGAAAGTTTGGAAAGGCACGCCAGTGACAGGAGAGGAGTGCTCCAGTGTACCTTGTAGCGCGGAGGGTGCCACACTGCAAAACAGACGTCCCAAGGGGGCTGTCACTCCTGAAAGATTTGAAAAGCACGCCAGTGACAGGAGGAGTGCTCCAGGTGCACCTTGTAGCGACGGAGGGTGCCCACCTGTTCAAACAGACGTGCGCTCAAGGGGGCGTGTCACTCTGAAAGTTTGGGAAAGAACACGCCAGTGACAGGGGAGTGCTTCCAGGTGCACCTGTAACGGGAGGGTGCCCACCTGCCGAAACAACGTGCGCTTCAAGGGGCGTGTCACTCTGAAAGTTTGGGAAAGGGCACGCCAGTGACAGGGAGGAGTGCTCCAGGTGCATCTTGTAGCGGCCAAGGGTGCCCACCTGTCAAACAGACGTGCGCTCAATGGGGCGTCTCACTCTGAGATTTTGGGAAAGGGCACGCCGGTGACAGGGACAGGCGTTCCAAGTGCCTCTTGTAGCGGCCGATGATGCCCACCTAGCAATCGCAATTCTCGCTTTACGGACATTGGCAGAAGGGGGTGGGGGACAATATATATTTTTTAAATGGATACAATATGACATAGTGATAAAATGAAAGCATTTCTCCCAAGTGAAGTTACTGAAATATTGCATTGATTTTCTGCTAATATTTCTACAAATGTTTGATATATTTTAACCATTTTAATAAATGGCGTGTAAAAAATCAGTTTCTCAATATTGTAGCCTTTTCACTATTTTATTTGAAAAGCAAATGAATGTAACCTTTTTTTAATGTCTACTATCGTGTTTCTCGTTATTTTTCTATAGAACTAGTTTTTCACCAAAATGAATTTAAAAATATTTGTTCATCTAATGAAGGAGAAGACAGTGATGATTTGTTTCTGACTTGACGTGACTCGCTATATATTTGTAAATATTGACGTCCTCAAAACACAATTATTTTGTCGGCAAAAACATTCTTCTAAGGAAGACCGCAATCAACTTTATTCGTGTGTAAATTAGTTAGAAAGCCCTTCTCACCTGCAGTTAATCCTCACTTGCAGGCGAGGAAATAAGTTGCACACATTAGTTTCACTTTTCATGGGTCACACGCGTCATGCAGTCATTACAGAAAAGTTATTGACTTTTTAAGAGTAAGTCAGTAAGCGATCGTGCTATATGAATTCATATTTTGAACTCGTAGTATTAGTTCTGACTTCCTGCTTCGTACACCTTCAAGGTTTACGCATGCCTGCCAATTAAACTGCGCAATTAATTGTGTTAGTGCGAGTCAGATAGTGATGGTGTCGTTCGTTATTAAACAAACTGTCAGGGTAAGGAACTACAGTCTTCATTGTTTTGTGTGTACGTTGAGAAGTTGGTGGCGTAGAATTAAATCGAAACCTATTCAGCAGGGGGGGGAGGGGTCTCGCAAGGTTAGCGACTCTTCTTCGTCAAGACTGGCGTGTCGTGGGAGTACTTAATATGCCATGTATTCCTTACCCTTCAAAGCAATAATCAAGATGACGTCCATCGCAACCCACGATAGAAGATTGATATAAATCCACTACTCGTGCTGTTATATGTGTTGTGTGTCTTTGAGTACTCTTTTAGACAGTGTACAAAATGTATTATTCATCGATTGTGTAATGTGTTGTTATTAAAACTTTTTCTTGGCCATGGTCTTCCTCCCTCTTAATCTAATCAATTACTGACTGAAATATTGATAAGACTGGTCTTCCGAAATATTTAATAATTGAATATAATGATGATTTTTTAACATTCTAAATTTACAACTCTGAGCCCCCAAACGACTTCAGAAAGGTGCATCAGTTTGAAGTTAGTGAAATAGGTCAGTATTTTCACTTTTTCACCTACACATGCACAACTCCGAAGAAATGGTACATGATTACGTTTTACTACAAAACATACAGTATGACATAAACACTGGGCATGCTTTGATGCAAAAAAAATATTGATCCAAAAAACCTTTGTGTATCCTCTGTACATCGTCGCAGCATCCAGGGGGTTTGAGGACACTCTGGGTGGCGATGATACTTGGACTGTTGAACTTGATGTTACTGTGGTCTCCACTTCGTTCAGGCGAGGGTCCGTTTGGTGTTGAACCAGGCGTTCTGGCGTTGGCAGCGGATCGCCACTGAGTGGACCTGAACAGAAAATATATTGCAGTACATTATGTGACAAGTATTCACTTTATTGTGGCACACACCGGCATACCTCTGAAAATGAACCTTTTCTGCTTCTTGTTTAGCATATTTTGGTTAGAAATTTTAAGCCAAAAAATTATTAATTGGAGCAAAATACTAAAATTATTCTTACAAATTTTTATACCATAAAATGGCATAAATTTAACTTATCATCTACAATATAATTATATTTTAGTATTTTTATTTTATTAATTCTTTCGAAAATTTCATTAAAATAATTTTTTTTAATATTTTAGTTGTTATTGTTATTATAATGATTAATATATTATTAGTTTTTAACTTCAACATGCTCATTTAACTGTTCTGAGTAAAGAAAAAACATGTTTAATAAATTAGAATTCTAGTGTTTGTTGCGAATTCTAAGACAACATACAGAGAATTTTAAGTTTGTAACAGTGACAATTCATGTACTTTTCTTGAGAGAAAGATGAACAAAGAAGTCAACTGCTTAAAGTATTTCAAATCAAAAAACAACAAATTAAATTACATGCTACGACTTGAGACGAGATAAGAGAGAAAGATCTATTGGCTCGCTTCGTCCGTTCGTGCATCCCTGCTCTTGGTAACGGGTGGAATCACCCACCCACCAATATTATACATTTTCCTTCAATAATGAAACCAAATATTTAATTTGGAGAATTTCATTCAGACAGGAAATATCTGGGTAACCGTCCATCCCTCCATTGTGAAAACGCCACGTACACAAATCTGTAACTTAGAAGTGAAGAGTCGTAACTCCATTTTCAGTGATTTTCCGGTTTTGATATCAAAGTAATTGCAAGAGATAAATCTATTTGAATATGTACAGTAGTAATCCCCAACTTTATTAGCGCCTATTGAAGCTGGTAAAAAAGTCCTAATTTCTATATAGTAAGTTCTACGATAATATACATATTTCGTAGTATATTAGAACCAAAATACCGGGAAAGATGGCCCAGAGCATCGACTGATGTCACTTCAGTCCGTCTGACCGGAAGGTCCTAGTTTAGAGTCCCGACGGTGGCAGGATTGTCGATACTAACTTGTTAGCTAGGTTGAATTCAGTCGCACATCACAATAATGCCGGAGCAGTACCCTAACAAACGGGCCAGGGACCGCGCGCTATCTCCCATTCTTCTTATACACACACTTAAACTAACACGCTCCACACTACCACACATGCTGAGAGATCCGTCAGGAGCCAAGCTGGGGCGGTGCCCTGTTGGTAGGAAATACCTGGTTGGAGAAAACCGCGCTAGCCCACGGTAGGTGACTCTCGCCATACAGCGGGGGAAAGATCACTGCCAACTCCAGAGCAAAAAAACATGCATTACACTTACGGGAATAATGAGCCTGCTAGTTGACGTGGAATCACTAAAGAATCAAGCAAATAATTAGAACTAAGGGACCAGCTATTTGTTTTTTTTTTCTTTCTGTGAAGGGCAGAGATTCTGAGTTGCGAATCTTGTCCTTATTATACAGATACTGTTGTGACTCACCAGTTTTCCGTGGTTTGTCCGATCAACAACATAATAATGCCGGAGCAGTACCCTAACAAACGGGCCACGGACCACGCGCTATCTACCCTTCCTCTTATACACACACTTACACTAATACGCTCCACACTACTACATATGCTGGGAGATCCGTCAGGAGCCCAGCTGGGGCGGTGCCCCGTTGGTAGGAGATACCTGGTTGGAGAATACCCCGCTAGCCGACGGTAGGTCGGCGCCGGATCTCGCCATACATTGGAGGAAATATCACCACCTCCCGTGCAAAAACATGCATTACACTTACGAGACTAATGAGCCTGCTAGTTCACGTGCCCGGAAACAATAAACAATCAAGCAATTAATTAGAACTAAGGGACCAGCTAGTTGTTGTTTTTTTCTTTCTGTGAAGGGCGGACATTCTGAGTTGCGACTGTTGTCCTTATTATACAGATACTATTCTGACTCACCGTGGACGACAGCGTGCATGACGCGCCGTTTCTCGCCGCCAGGCGCGCAGGGCTCGTCCCGCAGGCGCACGGTGAGGCGGCGAGGCGCGCTGCTCGGCGGCTGCTCCAGGCGCGCCTGCACAGCGGTTAACCGCGCGGTTAATTGCCACACCCGCGCCCCGCACCGCACCAATCCGGTCATGCGCTTCGTCTCGCGGCGCGAGTGATCGGGTGGGAATGGGATTGGCTTTATTAGGAGCGCGAGTTGGAAAAAGATGAATAGGTGCTGGTTGGGGTCGAATGGCATTAATGTGGGGATGCACATCGTCTCGAAGGAGTAAAAATTATTTTCAACATTGGCGTCGTCTAGTCTGACGACTGATATTTAGCGTAATCGTGATTTTTCTGCTTATCTTTCTCTGACGTAAGTCTTGTTCAATGAATGACTCTTGTTTCATACATATTTACGAAGTTTATCTTATATGTAGTTTTATAGTATTTAATGACGTGTGTTCATACTCTTCAGAAAAGGAAAATGAGATTAACGAGTTAATGTTTCACGTTTGTTGAAATTGAGGCAAAGATCGGCATTATATCCTCTCTTATTGCGTGAAATATTCTGAAGCTATTATAGTAGGTTGTAATGCACACTCAAATAATAAAAGGATAATTGTGTAGCATTTCATATTATTTTAATGGATCTGAAAATAATAATTGCGATAGATTGTTTAAATAGCATATTATGTAAGCTTGGGCATTTATCAAATATATGAATGTTATATGCCTTTTTATGCCTTAAAAATCATTCATTTATTGTATCCTTTTAAAAGAGTTTGTTTATGCTCAAATTTAAATACACAATTAGCCCTCAAAATCCTTCAGTCAGTTCAGCGTAATTTGCTCTCATCGACCTTGAATGGTGCGGGAATTGTTGGCCATAGCACATGTAACCCGTTTTGGTCTGTAACTAACCTGTGTTAACTAAGCTGTCGGACTCCCCACAGCATGGGAATTGACCCTTCAACTGTGAGAGTTGAACCGTCCCCAGCACAAAATCCCCAGCAGCAGCAAAATCTCCTGGAATTGATCGAAGGAAAACATGATTCGAGATTGCTTTCGGGCCCGCGGGTAGAAATTCCCTGCTCTTGATTATGTATGCCATTTCTGCGACAAGAAATTAGAAAATCGCCAGCGTTTTCAATGTTTAAAATCAAAATTATTCTTGCATTGCGAAGAGGACCAAGAGACATGAAACACGGTATCACAATAGACTGGATTCAATACATAAACAGACTGTGAAATTTTGGTGCCGCATACGAATGGATGTATAAAGTGCAGCTGATACTTTAGATTAAGCGCACGATAATGAGGTCGGGATTATGAAATAGTGAGTCACAATTTTTTGTGCGTCGATTTTGCAGTTTCCTCGTACGAGGGTCTTCTCATCACTTTGTTTTGGCCTGTTCTCCGTTTGCAACATCCACGTGTCTGTCTCTGGCCATGGTTAACGAGTTGTCTCCATGGGCTTCTTTCTTAGATCTTTTCTGACGGAAATATTCTTACGATTATTCAAAAGAAGTACATCACGCACGACCTGTCGCAACGTCCCGCAGACTTCCTTTAGAGGCCCGAAGGCAATTTTTTATCATCTGTAGAAAGTTCATCCTAGATTCGAATCGGCCATTTAGCGGGTGTTTTTTCCGACGGAAATATAATCTACTAGGAACTCCATATTCCCGAAGTTGATTACAGTACCAGCAAACTTCCAAGAGCATGTGGTACGACTAATGTCTGATTCTGGACAATTCAAAACTTAGCCGTTTAATGGGCATGTTGGAACAGCTTCGAAGCATATTTTGAACTTCAGGCGAATCACGTCTTCAATAGGCAACAGAGGTTGTTGAGGTGGTGAAGCTACTGTATTGAAGAAAATGAGATAAGACGTGATAAAGATGGTTCAGACAGCTGATTGGAAGTTTCTAAGATTAGTGAGAGACAGGGTATGTGGTTTCGAGTTCTACAGTGTCAGTCACCAGTCTATTTACACAGTACCGTCTACTCAACCTAACTTAACCTTATTGTATCCCTCAGTTGACGCTTTGGAACAGCTACGCGTTTCCGAGTTGGTAACAAGGTTTCGGCCTTCAGCCTTACCGAAGTTTGGTTACACAAAACAAACTTGAGTCTGAACAATGCATAACTTTTGACGCAATTTTATCCCAAACATGTCTTGGGCACACATATATCATCGCACTTGATAAACAACTTACTTTATTCAGCGCCATGTGGCTAATGTCAACATTAGTCTAACGGTGTTCAACGTAATACGTCCCTGTAGTATTTCGTGTGTGAAGCGTAAAAACATTCAGGGCGACTTTGACAACCTTGACTGCCTTCTTGAAGCGATGTGATCAATCGCGTGGAGGCGTGATTACGTCGTGCTATCCGTGTCAGGGACTTCCTCTAGGGATTTCTGAAGTAGATTTCTCATGTTATTTCTGTTCCGTGTTTCTGAACTGCGCATTTGTTCAAAGCTATACGTCTCTCGTCAATCACTCAGCTTTCTCCTATCCGTGGACTAAGGTGCCAATTACCTGCCTAATTTTATATATATATATATATATATATATATATATATATATATGTATATATGTATATATGTATATATGTATATATGTATATATGTATATATGTATATATGTATATATTAGGATGCGTCGATACACACCAGCGCCAGCGCTCCCGACGATCGCAAGAAGGAGATGCGGCCGTACCTGCAGCACGGGGTGGCCCGTGGCGTTGAGCGAGCCCCTGATGTCCAGGTTCAACTCATCCCCGGAGCAAGGTCTCCGATCCTGCGGGCCCGTGGCTGCCTGGGCGGCGGAGTTCCCCACTAGCAGCGCCAGAAGCAGCAGCAGCAGCGGCAGCGGCGGCGCCGCCCGTCCGAGAGCGCGTTCGGCCATGACTGGCCCCCCAGCGCCACGACGCGCCGCTCGGCGTTGGAGGCCGGGCGCCGCGGGCAGGGGTGCCAAAGAGGCGACTCGAAGTGACTCACGATCGCAAGTCGAGAATGTTAGCTTTCACAAGATCATTTTATATATATAATAATAATATATTATATATAATATATTATATATAATATATTATATATAATATATAATATATTATATATATGTATATTATCCAGTTAATTAGCTCCTTAGCTTCACGGATTGGAGAAAGCTGTGTGATTGACGAGGGACGTATAACTTTGAACAAATCAGCAATTAAACCGAAAATAAGTACTTGCCTTGAACGGAACAGGAATAACCGGAGAAATCTACTTCAGAAATCCCTAGCGGAAGCCCCTGACACGGGTAGCACGGCGTAATCACGCCTCCTCGCGATTGATCACCTCACCACAAGAGGGCAATCAAGGTTGTCAAAGTCGCCCTGAACGCTTTTACGCTTCATACACGAAATACTACTAGACTAGACTAACATAAATAAATTTAAGAATGCTATTTTAAAAATTTTTTAAATAATTTTTATAATTTTTAAAATTTAATTTTGTTTATTTATTTTAAACTGTAACTCATCTTTCAACTATTTATTGTTAAAAAGACGGGAAGGTATTCTGGAACTCAAGAAAACGTACGTAGATAATCTTCTAATCCATGCTTTACATACAATTTTTACTGATTTTTTGCCTAAATAAATTTAAATCTAAATAAATTTAACGTTTGTTGCTATTTTTTATTTCTATTTTTCCTTTTATTTTTCTGTGCATGTCCTCTTTTATACATGCAATTCCACCAAACGGCGGGGTTCTGATTCTGTCCTTTCCCAGGCTGAGGCTGTGCTGAGGAGCTCGTGGCATGCCACGGTGCCACAGAGCGTTCCATGTTGGAGACCTTGATATTCCTGATCTATTTGTTCAGCACAATCAGGATTTTAAATAATCTGTAACTGCGGCTATACTCATACGAGAGAGATTAATATTTTTTTTTATTTCTTCTCGTTTGACAGGTGTTGTCGTTCGAGGAGGTTCCTTATGCAGTACATAATTTTTGGCTTTTGGGGAATGGTCATCCATAAGCAGTGGTTTGTATTACTGGGAAGAACGTAAACTTGTGATAAAGTAAATGAAGGTAGGTTGAAGACTGTTTCAGTTTTAGATCAATTGACACTTGTAGGAGATTACAGTGGTTTCAATCGGTCTTTGGGGTAACTGGATTTAATACGTGGGTATACTGCATTGCTGCCGAGACTGAAGATTAAGGAGCGTGGGAAATAGTGAAGGTTTTGATAAGAATGTTGAGCTGTTTGTGTTATGTAGTCGCTTAATGAAGGCACTAATTGTCTGCGAATCTGAATGTTTGGAATGAACCAGATGGCAATTAAACTTTTTCTTAAAAATATATTTTCAATGGCTGTTATTTTATCGAGATTGCTAGGGGCAGCACATCCACAAAATGTACATGCGTAAATCGGGGTTGATAGAATTAATGATTTAAATAATAACATTCGACACTCAACTTTCAAATAAGAACATGCATTAATTAGAGAGAAGAGTTTTAATATTTTTGCATATACCTTGTTGGCGTTTGCATTATATGGGGTTTCCAAGTTAATCTTTTGTTAGGAGGTCCACCTAAAATATTTGTCAAAATTTAATTCGACGCGATTTTTGGGGCGGCGAAACGTGAAAATTTGGTGCATGGGTTGACGTGTTTGACATTTATTAATCAATTCGCAGACCACAATGTATTAACATTTTAACGAGTTTGGGATATTGGCAATAAGAATTTACCTTAATTTTTTGAAGTATGCTTTAATTTAATAGTGTATATAATTGGTGTACTAAGTATTTTATTGTACACATATTTTCACCGCTAAAATTTATTTTGAATGACATTATTTTTGGTGAAATTTCAGGGACCGTCCATAGGTTATATGTGGCCCCTAGATTGTAGTTTGTACGTCTCTGACGTGGGGTCACGAAGATAACCTCGTTCTATTTCCCCAGCGAATGACCCTCTGAGACTGTTATCAGCTGAAATGACGTATCCCCTCTTCAACTGCTCTGTTTCAAACCATGTACTTCTTGGTAGTAAACACGGCGAGATTATGATCTTCTGTGTGTAGCGACTGTAATCAAACAATGACGGTCCAAGCAAATTTGTAATTCTCATTGAGAGGAGATTTTGAATCCAAAATATAACATGGCTAAACTATATTAATACTGATTTGAGAATTTATTTTCCGACTTAATTTTTGAATTCATGACAAGAAAACATGAGAACTGTTTAACTTGAATTTAAAAAAATCTATACCACCTTCAGCTATTGATATTAGTTTGAAAAGATATTTCAGAAAAATTCCACACTTACAATGTTTTTGTTATTTTTTTAATAATAATATTAAAATATATTAAAGAAATGTTATCTTCTTTCTATTTTGATGAATTTTATAAACGTATCATCAATTTTATTTTTTGAGATCAAAACGAAATGTTTAATATTTGTAGAAGTAACTAATAGTTGTAGATACGCAAAATTGAAATATTTACATCTTTTTTCTATGGTAGTTAACAAGTCACTAACAAGTTAGGATGATACAAATCAATAAAGTTTGCAGCATATTTTAACGAAATCAATATTCTTTTTATGTTGATCACCTGATTTTCAGAATTCTTTGAAATTTGAATAACCTCTCCTAAAAGAGATTTGAGATGACTTATCTTCATCTAATTACGAGCACCTCCTGTATTTAACACCAATGAAGTTAATATTTCATGTAGCTATTGTATTCAGTAATATTTCTAACTTTATTTATTAAATAACTAAACTAAATGCAACAATAGAAAATGTGTTTGAATAGTCAGCACATGGCATTAAAATAAATGAGTATTATTGAACATTAATATTCCAAAATAGTTTTCCAAAAGAAATAACATCACAACTGTTTTCTTCATTAGTGCACTTGAGTATTTTAATAATGGAAGCTTATCAAAAATATTTCAGAAATAAATCCATGTGTAAAAAAATGTAACATCACGTACTGTAGCTATGGCATTTAAACATCCAAACATCCCGTATGCACAGAAAGTAGGACTGTCCTTAACATTTCGGCGGCAGAATCTCCGAAAAGATTGCTTCGTAAGCGCGTTTGGGATGTCACTCCGGAAACGAACGCCCATTAGAACGAATCACGTCATCGGCTCCGTCGGCGCAAACCTCGCTGGAGTTTCATCTGGCTCGCGCCCAAATTTACTCCGTCTTCGCCACCCCGTCCCTTCTTTCGCTGAGCGCGTCCCTCTCTCCGCCTCGTTTCGACGGAGATTCCATCAACGGTAGCGCTCGTTTCTACTAGGCGGCTCTATCACGCGGCTTTCGCGCTTCTCTTTTCCTCTCGCGTTCTTCTCCACGTCCCTCTTTCGTTCGTCGTCCGCTATCTGCCTTATTGTCCGCCGGGGAGGAGGACTAACGGCCAAGAGAGCGTACACGACACGGTCGCAACCTCCGCATTGAGATAGGCACAAGCTAATTCAGCAGTAATAGAATTAGCGTCGGTGTCTCCCGCGGCGAATTGCGACTCGTTCGCGTCGCAAGCGCCGTACGCCCTTCGCGCACGAGGGCGCTGCTGCCAGACCATCGGCTTGTAATCTGGGGTGCCTGGCTCAGGAAATAGAGCTCTTTTGTTTCTAGACTACATACGTTTCGCTTCAGAATCTTCAGGTTGTCTACAATAGAATTTTGAGCAAGATTTTCGAAGTTTTTCCTTCGATGTCAGCAGATCAAGTAGTCTGTCTCGTCTAATCGCTAGTCCATCTCATAATTTGAAATGAAATGGACTGACAAAAGAAGAAAACATTGAAACTGACGTGTACTTATTATACAACCAATATCTATACGTATTTAAGTATTGCATGTTTAACCCTGATGCGAGGAATGGAAATGTGTTAAATGAAATACTACTGGAAAAATATTCGTTGATATTATAATTTCTGTATATTTAGTTACAAGAAAGGCATTTGTTGGAATTCAGGAATTCGACCCTTTTTTTAATTCGTTCACAAGCGCTGATGTTTATCTTGACCAATGTTCAATTAATGACAACAATTTAATTTCCAGATTAGTTATAATGCTACTTTAATTTACTGTTTCCGAGATTTTTATACGACACCGACAATTCGATTATTTTTACTCATTAAACAATTCGATATTTTTGCACACACAAAATACGTTTTCAAACACTAAAACCTATTTTTCAAGCAATTCTCTCAGATCCAAAATACCGTAATTGAACTCAGCCATGAATGGAACAAAAGGCTCTTCCCAAACTGACAAAATTATCTCTTCAGAGCGGCAACGAGAGCGGCGAGCAAGTCCAGGTTTAGTGGAACAATGGCGTGCTTGCCGCGGAGGCGGAAGGGTCACGTACAGACTGAAGTTCAGCCCCCCCCGTGCAGTTCTCGCGGCTGATGTGTGTGTCGTGGGATCTGCGCGACGCCTCTGCCGAGGGAGCTCCTAACGAGATAACAGGGGCTTAAGCTCGCGAGGAACTTAAAGGAGACCCTTGTAGAGGCACGCCCTCCGCCGCGTAACTCCTTTGTGGGCCGCTCTTTATCCCGCGGCCTCGCCAAGATGGCGATTTCTCTTAATTTGATGCAAAGCCGATGTAATTCGCGACGCTTTTTATAGTGATGTTAGGGTTAAATCTCTACGTAAATTGCACTGAAAATGTCCTTTTTTTGCAATATTCTTGAGATTATAATGCAAATTTAGAGAAAATTTAGTGTGAACTCGCCCAAAAGTAATGGTATAAAATGGAAACGGCCATCTGAATTTTGAACAGCAAACATAAAATTTATTAACACTTCTTTAAATTTATTAGCACTTGTATAACCATTAAATGGCATCCAAATTCTTTATTAATACAAACAGTTTAACTTAATCTTCATATAAAATAGTCAACAAATGATGT